CGAATCTGAACAATAACAAAAGTTAATAGTAAATGGCATTGCATTATATCTGCCAAAATATATATCTACCAAAATACAATATACTTATGCCAATGGAGGATGTAAAACTGCAAAATATCAATTGGCAATATGTAACAACAACAGATAACAGTGAATAACATTAGATTAACATTTAACTTGTTATAATTTTCCATACATTCATCACCTGGTTCTCTTCGCTGCTCTGGATTTTGTGTCTCTTATCCCGAAAAATCAGGAAAACCCCTCCAATCACTTCATACTGTGAACTAGGGCTGGCAAACCCTGACCCGACACGAAAACCCGACCCGAACCCGATCCGAAGTTACTGAGAGAGACCCGAACCCGACCTGAACCGAACCCGAACAACCCGAATTCGACCCGATTTGACCCAAATTTCATATTTCGTAATAATATTAAGTTTTACACTATTTTTAATAGTTTCTAAGCATAACCCGAAATCGACCCGAAATCTGACCCGAACCCGACCTGCTGACCCGAATTGCCACCCCTACTGTGAACGTCCCACCGAGCGGTAGAAGTTGACATTATTAAAAATGAAGCGAGACATTTGAACAGAACATCTTGTCTCTGTTAACACAACCAAGTCGGGCATGTGTAGCTCATACAAGTGCTTGAATTGAGGGAGAAATGAGTTCCTCGCCATATCCCTACAATTCCAGACCATGATCCTCGTCCCAATGTCTTCACCGGTGGAACTATCTACGTTGTATTGTAGTGTCACTTTCCGTCCATCCAACACATTTCCGGATAACCAAATCCAGCTAGCTGACAATTGTGTAAAAGTTTGTGAGCCGTTAATTGTAAAAACCTTCAAGTCGTCGGAGTAGCCGTTTATCTCCAACTGATGTCTTCCCACTTGAAGGGAGCACGATTCCATTAGAGTCGGCAGTATTGAACTTGGGTCTACCATATTTTCCACGCACTTTGGGATAACATGTTCTACCCCAATTCCATCTGCACCCTCGTATTTGATGATAATCCTTTGTATTGCTATTTTCAATGGAACAGGTAATAGTGCCAAATCTGAAAGATCTGGAAGGTGAGCTGGGACAATGGAATTCTTTTTAAGAAGCAATATGTCACCAGCGGGTCGTTGTCCATGGGCAATCCAATCAGCAACGGTTGCAGCAGTAACTAATTGCAGGTTGAGCTTCTGTTGTTCAACGCTTGATACGGACTGTACAACAGCCAATATCCTTTTACCCATTTGTAGGTATCCACCTACAGGTCGAGGAGGCTTGAATTTGACGATAAGAGAAGTGGTTTCTACAACAGTCTCTGGAACCAACCTGTTCTTGTACACAACAAATTTGTTTTTACAACCATGGTTGATCCAAAAACCTCTCCCTCGCCTTCTCTTCAAGTCTCTAGCGCATATTTGGAGCCTATTAGTTTCATCTACAGGTATTTCGACTGGGGTTACCATTGGATTGTAGGGTGAATATAATCTTTGGGGTATGTCTGTTTGTAGTGATGTGTTGCTTGTATAGTATTGATTTCACAAAAGCGGGAATGAACAGTGGAAAGTGTAATGTGACGTACTAAAATGGCGCATATTTTACGCGCCCAAATTTTGACCCATTTGTAAATTGGTGCAATCTTACGCGCACAATTCTTACCAAGCCACGCACGTTGTGGCCCACGTCCAACGTTTATACCAAATGATACGATTGGGCCACACTAAACAAGGGTGGAAGCATGCCTTACGCTATACTTGGCCCAACCAATGAGAACACTGTACTAGGGCTGTCATCAGAATATTATGGGCCTTTTAACAAAAAATTGAAGCGATTGGGCCACAGTGCTTGGAATTCGGCGACATTTTTAAGTAGGCCCAACAAATCACAATACTTTGATTTAGTATTTAGTATAAGCACAATATAATGGGCCTCCTACAACAAGATGGCCGTGGACTTAATTAAATTTGATTAAATTTTGTAATTACCGCAACTATAATGAACCTTAAAAACAAAAGTGTTATTACAGCACGAATGAACGGAGATTAAAACACACAATGTTTGCCATCATACACATGAATTGAAATTACATAAATTAAGCATTATGATTGATAAATTATTACTCACAAACCCCCCTGCAGTAGGTCTCCCTTCCAATGTCATTCAATCGCTTGCTTGGCTGCGAGGCAAATGAAAATTTGTTTAATTGACTTAAATTTACTTGAATTAATCAATTAGTTGGGAGGATACTTACTATGATGTTTGCTGACAAAACCTCTCCGTAAAGGGTATTCTTCCTGCAAGAGAAGTATGGAGAAGCTCCTTTTGCCCAGAAACACATTACTCCTCCTAACCCACAATTTGGGCCAACTACCTCAACCCTGTAGTTTCCCTTGAGCTCACTTTGTACGAATTTTAGCATTGGCTTCCATGCCCTTGCCTTAGTGACAATAAGGAGGAGTGGTGAATATGAGTCGTGAATGATTCCGAAGTTTTCTGCAAAAGAGGGCCTGTGAACATCCCTAGAATTCCAAATCACAATTCTACTTCCCTTACTGAATGTAGATTGGCATGAAAACTTATTGGTTGTTTCTGATTCTATTGTTGTTCTGAAGTACCTATGCCCCCTACGATTAGTTTGACGACTCCAGATTTTGAAGCTAATTTGGGATATTAATTGAGTCACCACCATAACATGCACACCAGCATGATAAGCCCCCATGAAGATCTCACGAGGTGCGGTGGGGAGGGCGTAGTCGACGATATGATCCGGGTTTACATCAAATCGCAGATCGAATATGGGGATCACTTGTTCTGGAATGAGTTCCGGTTCAAGGGGACTTTGTTGAAGGCTCAACCATTTAATAAAGTGTCTAACCTCTTTATGTAAGTATCCGTCTAAGTCAGATAGCAGGGGAATGTAAGCAGGCCTGTAATTCCCCTCAAACTTCATCATCCGGAATGGACTACCGTACGGTGTGTCGTTATGGTCGTTCATCCGCAACTCCTCCTTGAGGGTTTGTACATGGATCTTATTGAAATCACTATAATCAAATTGGTTGTGGTAGTAATCGATGCCATTCACATCGATTTTGGCTTTGGTAGATGGATTGAAATGATTGAAATACATAACAGAATTTTTGGGATGGAATCTAATTCCCCTGCTCCTGGCCGTGATCTCAGATGTAGAAAGGTGAGAAACTATGGATTTACTCTTGGAGTTAAACATGTTTAGTTTGGAGTTTTTTGGTGATTTATGGTCAAACGTTGTCTTTTTATCATTTACTCTATCAAGTGTTTACGAGGTACTGCGTATGTCGTTGGATTATTCCAAAAATCCCTCTTCTTTATTTTACAATTTTTGTTAAACTTATATTTGATCTATCCTCATTATTGAAGCTCGTGTCCAACAGCTCTCTACTCTTTCCCTGGAAGTATCACTTTATAGCTGATGGGACTACTCAATGTGTAGCCTTAGGTCTAGACTAGTAGCTGTTGCTTGTGGCTGATAGAATAAGTCTAATTTGCGTGTAATTTGAGTATTAAACCATTATGCAAATGCATGTGTTTGTAACAAAAATAAATACATATTTTCATTGTTACCCCCATTTGAATAGCAAGTTTTGTCATCAAATTCACATTATTCTAGTTAGGCCAATTCGATCCGAATTATAATTCGTTTTTATTTTTTAATCCGATCCGAATTGTTCTTCCAATCAAATCCGATCGAATCTGAATTAAAATTCGGTTATGTTGGATCCGATTCCGAATTAAACTAAGTTGATATATAACTTCTAATAAACTAGTACGATAACATAAAACATTATTCATGATTAACATAAATTGTTTAACATCAGGTCCGATTTAAAGTTTGGACCCAAACCGAATTTATAATTCGGTTTGGATTGGATATCCAAACTATGGACACCCCTAAATTCTAGTGCCCTTCGAAGACTAAAGGTCTCAATTCGTACATTATTTCCTTTAAGTATTCGTTTTATAGGTCTCAAACGGGGTTTAAGTATTCATTATTCCATTATCTCCTATACATTGTTACACATAAGTCATATAAAATTGTTACGCGATTTGTAATCGTATATTTTTGGGACCAACACACGCCGTACTACATTAACATTTGATTTATACCTTAGTGTTGGGCTGAAATGGTTTCATGTAGTAAGTTTTTGGATGATATTCTAAATTGTTGAACTGGATTTGTCTAAATTGTTGAACTGGATTTGTTATGGAATTGTAGGACTATATTCATGTGTTAATGGTATTGTGTATTGTTATGGGCTACACTTGTTGTGGTAATGTATTGTCTGTGTTTTATTTTAAATATATGTTTGAAATGGAATAGGGCCCACAACCTAACTCTCCCTGGTTACAACATATGCTAATTGCCAAATTTTAAGAAAGTCCAACTAGGTAGATGTGTTTACATAACTAATATGTTTGTAATGGAATAGGGCCCACATAAACCATTTTGAAAAACCCCATGCTTAAACTTTTGGTATAGGCCCAATTGCCCAACTTCAACATATGCTGATTGCCAAATTTTAGAAAGTCCAACTATTAAGATGTGTTTCAATTAGATAATGTGTTTGTAATGGAATAGGGCCCATTATCCATTTTCAAAAACCAATCTCCATTCTTAAACATTTGGTATAGGCCCAATTGCCAAATTTCAAAAACATTTTCAACATATTCAACATATTCTGATTGCCCAATTGCTTAGGCCCAATAAATTGGTATGATACATTGATATAACATAACCCATACGACAATATTGTATACATGGGTTGGGCCATGTATGACATCCCCAGTATATGATTAATATATTTTTTTAAAATAGAAAAGGAGCTTAATTAATTAATAATGATGATCAAAGTACACAAAATTGGGCAGCTAAACACAAGCACGCTTAAGGCTACACTAATCAAGTTCCAATACTTAACAACGGCAGTAATCTCGACCAACAAGCCATACTTAAGGCTGCACCTAGATGCTACCAGCACAGTCATCCTCATACACATCCAATAAGTAAGTTGAGGCCATAACAGGCATTCCCTTGTTTATATAATTCATCACCGAAATCTGAAAGTATCACAACTCAGTTACTAGATTTTACTAAAATTACTACTTGACATTACAAACTACAGAACACAATATTCGTAGAAGGTACAAATTCAAAGGGTGGAGTACTACATGGATAGCCTCAAAACGCTTCAGAGTTACCTTTGGTCCATTCCATGTTGTTCGTGTCCATCACCAAGTCAGCATCATTAGCAAGGCTTACACTATCACCATGTTGGGAGTTGCATACATCAGCACTACCATATTGGGTGTTGCAAACATCAACCTCACTGGGATCCAAGTCCTGGTTAGTATAATTAAATAGACCCACATTAGAGTTCGCATAACAACACAAGTCACAAGCACTTAAGGCCTGCTTAATAAAAAAATTGATGCAACAACAACACAATATACCTGCAACTCTCCCAACTCATCATTCTGATTCGCCCCCTGTTCAACAAAGTCAAGATAAATGAGTTCACACCAAACATCATAGCCGCATGACCTTCACAAGCCATAGTGAAATGACTCAAAAATTACCTTGGTTTTCCTGGTCTTAGGTGGTTTATAACCTGTCTCAGAATATGATTTATTCCGGGAACCTTTAGTCCTGCCCCGAGGTCGCTTCTTAATTGGCGGATCTAAAATTGTAGCCTGTACATTAGAAGAAGATGGTTGACATGAACTGTGGATACCTAACTCTGACTGGGGTGGACACGAACTGTTGGAGTCTATCTCTGACTGGGGTGGAGGTTCACTAGACGGTGGGTTTTTTGTAGCCATTAACTCCATGTATTTCTTTCTCCTCTCCTTGACTTCGCTATGGAGTTTAGATAATGCTTTCACCACTATGTCCACTGTTTCATCATCAGCAACTGCAGCATCATCACATATCGGCTCAAACACATTCATCATGTTGTTGAACTTCTTAACTTCTGGGGTCCGCGTGGGATCATAGTACGCAACCCTCACTCTAGTGTGCTTCCGAACAATATCTTTACGCCACCTATCGACGATGTATTTGTCGGGAATCTTTACCACCTTGTTCTTATCCAACACACGTATGCAGTGCTTGCATAGGATGCCATGAGCTTCAAACCTTCTACAATCACATGAAACCTCCTTTGTCACATGATTGAAGATGAAAAAGTAGTTACATCGTCGATCAGTGATTACTTCCTCGCTTTCACCTTCCGGTACAATCCAAACCCTATCATCAATCACATACCGAGTCGTACTTTCATCAATGACAGTTACCTCACCATCATAACAGTACATCATTCGGGTAAGTTCACTTTGAATTTCCTGAAACTTAGCATCGGTGTATAACTTCTGAAATAATTTCTCATGTTTGAACCCCCTCACAAGGCGTCTGATGTATTTGGTAGCCTTTGCGTCGGCTTCGTTCTCGTCTGAAACCCTCTTCTTCATTGCCCTTGTGTAGCGTACAAGGAATTCACACAACCTGGTTTTCCGATTAACAAACGCATCAAAGAAACTGTTTATGCTCTCCACACGTTGCGTGGTTTTCATCCCCGCCCAGAAATACTCCCGCATATAAGCTGGAATCCACATATGTCTCTCCTTAAACAAGCCATCCAACCACTCATTCTTCTCCAACTTGTATTTTTTAATGCACTCGTGCCACCTTCTTTCAAACTCTTCCGCAGTAAAACTCTCATATATTATGGCCTTCAAGGGGCTCTTAAACTCTTTGTACCTTTTGTGACACATATAATTTCATTATAAAAGCACCATCAGTTTACAATGCAAGCATTGAGTAAATCAATACGCAAAACAACCACAATCACACAGTGACAACCAATAATATACAAACAGCAAAACAAGCAATCACTTACTTGTCGCACTTTCCTAGTTTGTCACCAAACTTCCTGACAATATGCCATATACACCAGCGATGCCTGGAGCTGGGCATTGTTTGTACCAAGGCCTTCCTCATGGATGCTGCTTGATCAGTCAGAATAGCTAAAGGAGGTCTGTTGCCCAAGGAAGCAAGCCACTGTCGAAAAACCCATGTGTATGTTTCAGCATCTTCTCGTGAAACTAGTGCACAACCCAATAGGATGGACTGCCCGTGATGATTCACACCCACGAAATTTGCAAATGGAAGTTCATATCGATTAGTTAAATAGGTAGCATCAAAGCATACTAAATCCCCAAAATACTCATATGCAGCCCGACTCCTGGCATCCACCCATAACACATCCTTCAACCGACCATGTGTGTCTAATCGGTGACAATGGAAAAAATTCTGATTGTCCGCTTGCATCCGGTCAAAATAAGCCATCATGGCTGTTGCATCACCATCCTCCATTTTCAGTCTCCTAGCTTTATAAACCTCATGTTCCATATATTTCAAAGAAGGCAAGACCTCCTTCGTATGTGACATACCATTACGAATTTTGGAAACAGATACACCCTCTTCCAAAAATTAATCAGAGTCTTTCTCACATTTGAGGTGTAGTTCTTCATCCTATATTCTTTAACTAAGACTGCATCACTGGGATTTTGGTCATGATTGTGCTCATTACAAACCTTCCTTAACTCCCACTCCTCATGTTCATTAACCCCGGCATATATCTTAACAGGGCAGTAACATTTTTTGGACTTTCTCTTGCCTTGGGCATGCTCTTGCACTCCTATGACTCCATTAACATTACCTCCACACCCACCAACATCCATCGCCTTTGCCCTCTTCTTCGCCTCCCTTTGAGCCCTCATGTTAGGGGCACCCCAACACTCACACTTCCATGTCATGCACTTACGCTCATTGGTAACTTTAGATTTCGTTCCTTGCACCCTCGTAACCCCAAACCCCTCCTGCTCCCCATACTTTTTGTAATAAATCTCTATATCCTCCCATCTTCTAAAAACCATGCCAACTTTAGGGGTTTCAACAACAGGACCAGGACTCCTCCTATTAGTTGAAACTACTGTCTCTATAGTCTGCATTGTATGAATGGAAGAACGGTATTCAACAACTTTAAAAGATGTTCTTCGCGGATGGGGGACATCGGAGGCATAAGATCAATGTCATCCATGTCATCTGCATATTCAGACCAACACCCCTCACCAGCCACGTCGTCCATAGCATCACAGTCACCATCCATAATATCAACAAAGGTCAATAATTAATAGTTAGTTACCTGTATCACAGCCCGCATTGAGATTATACATCAACACTGATGAATATAACTAGTAAACCAACGTTTTTACATTGAAATTGCATTACATTTACATAATAACAACTAGTAACCTATTTGAAATCACAAATTCTACAATAAAGGCAAGCTAATCTGAATTTGCTGAATTCTGCGCTATTAAACAATTCAATTCAATTAAACAATTCAATTAAACAATTCGGGTAAACAATTCTATTAAACAATTCAATTAAACAATTCGGGTAAACAATTCAATTAAACAATTCGATTAAAGCTAATACAAAACAATCAATTACACCATTTAACTTAGCATTAAATATACAGAATATTAGCAGATAATTTTGCAAAGCCAAAACCAAGTAATCAGGATGGATAATTTCAAATGACTTCCTCTCTACGAGATTACTAGTTGGTCAAAAGCTAATTTGTCGGAATCAAATCCAGCAATTATCAACAACTATTAACAACTAAAAACACCCCTTGCACAAATCTACGATATAAATTACCTCAATTAGATAGCAAAATTATAATGGCCTTCTCGATCGATCTAGCTGTTAATGTTGAATTTCGTTTGCTTTCTCCATTGTTCAATTTCAAGCTCTTTTTCCATTATTCTCTCTCCTCTCTCCTCTCTCTTCTGACAGAGTTACTCAATTCACTTTCTCTCTCATGGTAAAAAACAAATGTTGAGTATTCACGGTTCATTTTTTTCCGTTTCAAACACCGTTAACTCCGCTTCTCTCTTCAAACGTTACCGCCAGTTGTCTTAGTTGCACATGGGCTTTTTTAAACAATTGTTCACAGATTTCAAGCCTCAGTATTTACGCTATTGCCATTTGATTAACCAAATTCGTTTCTCATTTTGAGAAACCGGGGCTCCCTCAATAAATACGCCAGAAGAGAAGTAATTCACAAAAGAAAAAAGAGGGGAGGTTTGCTAGGTGTCTAGTGAAAGTCATAGACTGAAACCAAATTAACCAATTCATAATGTGAAATTGTCAAAGACAATCTAAACCAACTCGTAAAAAAAGACCAATAAGATGCGGTAGTAAGCCGGGCTCATCTGACAACACTTTAATAACAGTTGTAATATCCAAATATAGTACTACTAATGAGTTGGGCTTCATTGGGCCTTACAATTCCAATAATGCATTTATTTTTTACTTTCCTCAATCAAAGCGATATTTGAAGGTCAAGGGTCAAAATTATAATTCTCCCTCTCAATCAACGCCAATAGTTGAAGACTTGAAGGTTAAGGTCATACCCCAGGTCACGTGCATTACTCTCATTCCACGTGACTTCTCTACACGTGCTGCCACGTTGATTTTCACAAGTAGACGCACGTGTGAGAACCCACAAAGAAATTGAGAGTAGTGGTGAGAGTGTATTTGACCACCGCTCTTTAGCTTCCTTAGCATGGTGCAAGAAACTTGTTTCATACAAAAATAATTTAAAGGAATAATTAATTAGATTATTTAAAAAAAAAAAAAAAGAAAAAAAAAAGAGGGACAAATTATTTTATAAAATAAAAAGAAAAAGAAAAGCCCATAAAAGAAGTCACATGATGGCTGACACTCACCTCTACCTTTGTCACGTGCTTGGCCCCCAATAGTCCTACCTTATTATTTAAAAAAAAATAAAAAATTAAGGAACCCACCTTCTGTTTTAGACAAAGAAGATAGGGAGAGGCTCCCCACTAATAGTATAGTAATGTAAGATAATGTAAATGATTGGGGGTAATTTTATATATTGAGGTTAAAAAAGATTATATTATATTCTTAATTATATGTAAAATATTGTAAATAAAATGTGTTGATGATTAAGGTGGGAACTAGGAAGGGGGATAAATATATAGAGTATTGGAAGGGTAAATAAATAAATGTCAAATCCTTATCCACTTTTTACCCTTTGACAAACACTAATCTAACTAACCTTTGTTCCCCTCTTTACATTGTTGTGGTAATTGTGTGCACAACATTAATTAAATTTTCACTTTAGATTCTTTTACTTTAATATTTTTCGAATCAATCGTTTTTTAATGTTTGTTTTTATATTATCAAAAAACAAAGATCGATAATATACATAAGATGTGATTTTAAGTACAGAGTATAAAAATGGCAATGGGTTGAGTCGGCCTACCACAATATGAAGCACAGTTGGACACAAGAATGGATAGGACACCTCTGACACTATTATTGTGTGTTAAGTCATTCATGCTTTTTTTTTTTTTTTTTTTTTTTTTTGAGAAGCACAACAAATACACTAAAATAAGTTAAATTTGATTTAAACACGTAAACATGGCCAATACTATTGTTGTCAATAAGGTACTTTGGGTTGGGTCGAGCTTGAGTTGTCCTTCCGAAAATTTAGAACAACATGATATGTAACGAGTAGACTTATTAATTTATTATGGGTCGATTTATGCTGACTTGATATGATATTATTAATAGTTGGTGAGTATATAAAAGCTAGAGAATTGAATTTTCAACATTCATACACATTTTGAGTGTTTACATCATTGTTGCTTACTTCATCGGAGAGTGTTTGGCTCATTGGTATTTTTTACTAGTAATTAATTTTATTATGGTGTATTAGGTTTTTGCCTACAAGGTGTTCATTGACTCTAGTGTCTAGTCCAATCTTATATATTCAATGTCAATGGAATATATGCATTTCATACACATTGTAAAATGTAGAATATATTGAATCATTTGCCATTTTGCCCTATGTAATACATATTCATATTTTCTTCAAATTGACACAAATTTAATATCATAAAGTTGCTTAATTTGTACTTGTATATAATATGAGTATAAAGCTACTTTGATTTCAGTACGTACACTAATAAATAAGAAGAACTTATACAAAAATGTAAATAGAGAGTAATAAGATAGAAATTAAAAATGGAATTGAAGTAGAAGAAAAAACAATGGTGTCAATTTGTTTTGTTATTTTACTGAAAATTTACCACATTATTGATTTATTAAAGATATATATATATATTTGATCCCAAGTGGAGCATGTGTTGTTTTTAAATTGTTGCCCAATTTTAAGCTAAGGAATAATTAGTTGTTCAACACTTCAACATGTAGCTTAGAATTTTCGTATATATGCCATTATGTTTGTGTACTATATTATATTGATTTAAAAACTGCATTAGTTTGAAATAGAGTTAAAGTAACTAAAAATTTTAGTTTGAATGTTGTAGCCTAAGTAATTTTTCAACTTTAGGTTCACATAAAATTTCTCAAAAAATGGAGTACTTGTTATTTAAAATGATTTTATTTCCATTCATGTGAACCCTTTCATAGTTTCACTAACTCTCTTTCTCTCAAACTCTAAACTTACTCAATGGAGTACGTTAAAAACTCCACGATATGCATGTCCAGATCTAATAAGAAGATTATTTGAGGATGAATAAAGTTTTTCATATATAGTGGCTTTGACAATTTTAATTTGTATTATTTCATTCGTCTCTAAAATATTATCTCATTATAATTTTCTACATTATTTTAAAAATACTTACTATGAATTCTCATTAATATATAAGTAATAATATAATTGTTAAGAATTTTGTTGAATTCGTTTTAATGTATTGTAATATCAATTTTTTCTGATCATTACGGATACTAGAGAAGGAGGCGGGAGTATTACCATTTAACACTCTACATATATTATACTATGAAAAATCAGATGAATAAACCTTTAAAAATAACAGATAAAGTATTCCATATATCATAGCGCTAAGTCGGCAACCATATATACACACATGTTAATGATCACTTACAATAGTATAGTCATAACTAATCAGCTTAGATAGAACTAAATGATGCACCCAAATAGGTAGACCAAAAAAGGCAAAAAAAAATCCAATAGCATGAAAATGATGGGAAAGAAATGGATGAAAACGGCAAAAAACCAAGTGCCAAAGCAATGGGACTCACTTAAACTTGCTACCCACCAAATTAAAGCATGGCAATTTATAAACCATTTTAGGAGAGAGAAAAAATTAATTGGCCTATGTTTTGTGGGAAGAGACAACCAATCAAAAAGCATGGTTCAACAACCCAAATCCTACGTGGAATTTATATTTTTAAGGGAAGGTAAAAATAATTAAAAAGGTAAGGTAAAAAGATGACACGTGGGAAGGGATCATTGGCGTCGTTTCTTTGGTGCTGAGCTGTACCACTCGTGCATTAACGTGGGTTAAGGAATATGTTAACGGGGGTGTGAATTGACATAACATATTCTTTGGAGGGTTCAAGGAAAATAAAACACTATTACTCGTACTTTCTTTTGCTAGGAAAAATTATTGGCATTAGAAATCTTGGGATTATAAATTATACTTAGAATAATATTAAGAATAATTTTTAATCAAAAATGAATAATAATGCTTAATTTTATTGATTTATGCTTAAATTTATGTAATTCTTAGAGAGAGTGTAGCAAGTGGAGCATGTGTGAGAGACGGAGAAAAATTCGTTCCTTAATGTTAATTATTGTTTTTGTTTTCGTTTGTTCTTCTAAATTAGGAATACATCTCGATACCTTTCTTATAACACATTATTACCTCCCACATCCCACTATCCCACTCTCACATGCAACATATTTTCTTACCTTATCTTAAACACGCTCTACTTACAACACCTTTGTTTTCTTATATTATTGGATTTAATTACATGAATGACACTTGCAATACTAATTCTCTCTTATCACATTCACACACGCTCCACTTACACATTCTATAAACATCATTTTATCGAAAAATTATCTTATCAAAACTTGAATTTG